ATATATATATATATATGGAGCTTGAATAATGAATTTCCTACTTAATCGTGGGAGGATTTGTTTCGCTGTGCGCACGATATAGGCTGGTATTCAATTTATGTGAACCGTCCGACTGCCCGTGCTAATATATATATACATTACATGATTGTACGTCTGGATGGAGTAATTGTTTTGAATGAATGAAAGAAAAACAATAATAAGTACAGTACTCACCAGTTCGCGCAACACGTCGTCTGGCACGTTTCTGGTGGAGTTGCAGATCGAGTAGGCGGATGAGTGCGAGAATATGAGGGGCGCCTTGCTCGTCCTGAGCGCGTCCCTCATCGTCTTGCGCGCCGTGTGGCTCAGGTCTATGAGCATCCCCAGCCGGTTCATCTCCCTTATCACGGCTTTGCCGAACGTCGTCAACCCGCCACCTGCGGCATCGCACCCACATATTACAATTGCTTCATCGTATCCGTTGCTCCGCTCGACATCGAGCCGTATCTTTTCTCTCTTTGCTTCTCTTTGAAAATCCATTACATTCGACAACTCGACCGACAAAAAAAAAAAAAAAAAAAAATCCCATCCGCGCATCTGACTAGACGGTCCGGTGTTTTCTTTCAGTATAGGTTCATCGCCGCAGCGACGGTGGAGCCGATCGATCTCCCAAAGTATCCTTTGAGAGATCGTCGAGGCAAATGGATGGAAGGTTTGGACCTTCTTCTATTTTTTTTTCTTTCTTTCTTTCATACACGCCACGACCGGATGTTTCGTAATGGAATGGATGCCACTCCATACGGACTAAAGTTACCGGAGCGAGAAATCGGTATCGTTTTTTTTTTCCCCTTCGATATACATATACTATTTGCGAGGATGTGGGCGTTTTGTTTACCGTTCGGTGTACGTGTACGATAATGGCCCTCTACAGTGTTTTCTCCGCCTCCTTTTTTCTTCCCGTTTATTCGGCGCATCTCGTTTTACGGTTGGAATCGAAAATTGATGGGGAAAACACGGTACGATCCACGCGATGGAACTTGAATTTCCCTCGACGCAAAAATCCAGCCGAGAGAGCATACGCACAAACGCATGGGGTCGGTGTACATGATTGACGTGTGAATAATTGAAAGCGAAAACGCGCCTCGCCCGAGCCGTTTGTTGTTATTGAGAGCACTTATATCTGTCTCGATGGACGGACCGATGGTTAATGGAGTCACGGATGCCTTCGATAATTCAGGTCGCGTGTTCTACATGTTGTCTATGTTGCTTGTGACGTTTAAAAAGTACAATGTTCATTGAAAGCACGTGAAATAATAATAATAATAATAATAATAATAACAACAAAACAAAAAGGTTCAGGTTCATTAATTCTTTTCCACCTGCGTGTCTCGTATTTTCCCTCCCCCTCATTGCGTGCAGGCTTTGGAAAAGATGGTTGCTTTAGCCGCTCGGGCTCTTGGGTGTATTTTGTTTAGCGTGTACGAGATAGGGTGCACGCCGGGGCCCTTTCAAAAACGACAACCTACTTTCTCAAAGGCTACCCACCTCCGTTTGTTCGTTATGTTATATCGTGGCTTTTGTTTTTGCGAGGAAATACCTCGAGCTCTCACGGCGACATGTAGGTCAGACGTTGGTTTTTTCCTTTGGCTAGTGATAACCGCGAGTTACTTCAAATGTGATAAATGAGATGTGTACACGTATATTTTCTTATAGGTGCGCGATGTTAAAGAAAAAAAAAACAACAACAACAACAACAACCCGCATATTTCATGCACGCGGGAATATAATATTTTCACGCCCGTGAGGTGACGTTTTAAAACGACGGTGAAATACAATACGATGAATTATTCATTGTGCGTCGAAATCAATGCCGGGCGCTTGGGTACAAGCCGGCGTTATGATATGTATTTCCGCAACGTCGACGCAAAACATCTGCATTTAGGCATCATTTGCGAGGCCAAACAAAGAAAGGAGATTGCGCGCAAAAGTCTCGTTTTTACGTCTCCTCGGCATCAATGATACATGTATGAATATATTTCAATCCTTCCAACACGAAAAAAAAAAAAAAAAAAAAAAAAAAAATTGTGTTTTTGTTGTGCAGCCTCGTAAAAAGCAGTCTCCTGCTTTGCTTGACGACGGCGACAGTATAACAATAATGATGCTCCCCTTGTCTTACCTTCCTCGTCTCCCTGCTCGACCTTCGAGCTTTCAGCCCAGGGCGTGTTGCAGGTATGGGTGAGGGTGAGGTAGCGCACCCCGAGCTGGTAGAGGGTCCGCAGGACCGCGAGACTGCTCCCGAGACTGTGGCCGCCCTCCACTCCAATCAGCGAGGCTATCCTTCCCTTCTTGTGCGCCTCGAGTATCTCTGGAATATACATTTTTTCCCTTTTTTTTTTTTTTCATTTCGGCGTGTTTATTAAAATAAAAAAAGATGAATCGCTTTGCCGTGGAATAATAGAGGGGGGGACAAGAGTCACACAGTCGTCGGTTTCTCGCCAGCTTTTACCGAGATTGATGTTTCAAATGGAAGAGAGCACGGGGTTTTTTCGACGAATCGCTTCTACCGTGAATTATGGAATTTTCTTTTTTTTCTTCCCGCTTTATCCAAACACAAAGTGTGGGTTCTCGAAAGATTAAAAAAACATCTTTTTATAATTCTCATCCCCTCTACCGTATACGCACTTGCCGTACCCGCAGCGCGAAACTACACACGTGCAGGGCGGCATTTTCAATTTACAATAAATACCCGATCCAGGAAAAACCACACGCGGGGACTCGGGGGTGAAAAAACTTTCCAGCGGTGAAAAATCCCGGCATATTTCGAAAAGCGGCACGGACCCTCGCGAAAACAGAGCACCGCCCATCCCGCAGCTCTTTCGCGACAAAGTTCGCGTCAGCCGAAAATTTATGAAGCCCGACGCGAGAGAGCTCCAGGGCGGCCGGCGACAAAAACCATCCACCCGGTAAAAACAAAACGTTTTTCCCCTTCCTGAAAAGGAAGCGCCAGGGGAAAGCCTGTATATAGTTTTGCAGCGAAAAACAAAAAAAACAAAAAAAAAAGGGACAAAATCCGAAACGGATGAGAAAAAAGAAAAAGGCGGCGCTAATCAAACCGTGAAGCGCACAAGCAGCTTACACAATAGCCGGGGATAATAAAGAGTTAATTCACGCGCGCGTACAGGCAAATGAGGAGGTGGAGAAGCTCCGTCGCTTGGATCGCGCGGATTTGCAAGTCAATGCGTGTACATACACACGTACATTTACCTCGATCGTGTACACTGTACGCGTGTATGTACGTGCACCACTTATAACCTTTTGCCGCACGAACGCTCGCATCAGGTTGGTCTCTCCTGGTTTAATCCCCAGGCAATGATCCCCGGGACTCTGGCACTGCTGCAGAGTCGCAACTTTAAAGACTAGGGACCAACTCGGCTGTTCTCTTCGTAAAAGCGGACTCGACTGTAGCAAACAACTGATGTCTCTTTCTTATTATTATTATTATTATTTTTTTTTTATTTAACCATCCCTCGACGATAAAAGGGTCTCGGGGTAGTACACGTAGACACAGGTGCGTTGCGTAAAAGAGCTCCCGTCTGATGGAAACGATTTGTCGGGAGAAAAAACCTGACGTCCAATTAGTTTATCTCCTGGGGACGTTTATAGTTTTGGCCTTTACTTTAACAATAATATGCTCGTGATCAATTTATTCATCTTAGAATGTAGTCACTCTTGTACAACTAACGTAAAAAATTCTTTGCAACCGCGACTTGCACTTGCTCACCGTCGCACACGTGTATAGAACATACCTTACGCTTCAGCTGTGATGGCAAAAGCTCGCTCGCGCACACGAGAGCAAAGATGGGGCGATGATGATGATGATGTTCGGAGACGCGAGCTTGCCATTGTTATGTTTATATACACATACGTACGGGGGTCGTGTATCGTTGAAGCGCACAAAGTATTTCTGTGTAAAATTTTTGTCATATAGCTCCACACGTAGGGGAAAAGGTCGCGGGTTTTGTTTTAACGGCGCGCTCGAACTTTTGCGGCAAAAGTATGTGCGTGATATTGTATATACATATACGTACGGGGCGCAGGTGGCGCGCGTACAATGGTACTCAAGGAAAAATTTCGTCGAGGGCTGCACTCGCGAGAATAAGTTACGAGGGCTTTGGCGTCCCGGTCCTCGCAAGGTCGGGGAGTTAACGCCAGAACTTTTCTCTTCTTTTATTTTATTTTATACATACAGTACTCTGCACACGGCTTTGGGTGAAAAAAAAAAAAAAAAAAAAAGGGTAAAAATTATACATCAGCTACAGTACCAGGGGGCGGGAGGTTCGTTGCGAATCATAATTACGCGGGGCTTGATTGCACAAAGCCACGGACCTCCCACGCTATGGGACAGGGTTTTAAGCGTCTCTGGCGTGTAAGCAAACGAGCCGTCGTTACGCTAATGCCTAAGCCACTCTCGAGTGTCTACTCGCTTTAACTCGCAAACGAGGGGGCGGGGGATCGATTTAAGGTGTTGGTTTTCGGGAACGATTATACGCCACGTTGTGTCGACCAGAAATTACCTCGATCATCCGGAGTACATTACATGGAAGATGTAAAAATAAATAGTTCCAGTTTACAAGGGAGAGTTTCCGGTGGGAGCAACCGGAAACAGGGGCGCAAGCAGAAATTGTATCGATTGCCATGTCAATCCTTCCCTTGAGGCACATTGAAAGCTCAAGGGCATCCCTTGTCCGTGTTCATTTTTAAAAAATATCACTTTTTTAGGTTCGCTTGGCAAAAAAAAAAAAAAAAAAAAAAAAAAAAAAAAAAAGAAAAGAGAGAAAAGCTAAACCGCAGCCATTCGCGCACTCGACCAACACCTCGAATGGAGTTAAAGCCCCGGGGCAGTAGTTGGAAAATCGAATTCCCAACTTTGGAGAAAAAACAACTCCCCCGTTTCCGTGGGGTCACCCCTCGCCACCGTGAGATCTCCCGTATGTACGCGTTTCGCGCTCGAGAGTAACCGAGTAGGTGTATATATGCGTATCGGAAAAGAGAGAAACAGTCTCGTGGGGAGGTCACATTGCACGGTTACGCGGAGAAACTTTACGGATCGACACGGGGCAGGGGGGAGGGGCGACCCCCGCGAATTCCCAGCGCTGATTTGCACGTGATTGCTATTTCAACTACCGGCCCTTTTCTATCGAACCCGTACGTATGTGTTATATACACCTTGTGCTACCTGTGGTACAATTTACTTCGACGACGAAAGGGACTGTGCACGAGAGCAGCTATTTGGTTTCATCCATTTTGCTCCGATTGATCGACAAGTCGTATAGATTTCCCTTCGGTTTGAGAGACGAGTTCATCCACCCGCATTGAAATTGCTGGCTCTGTGGTGTATTTTGTCGAAATCAGAAAAAAAAAACCTGTTTTTTGTTTTTTTGTTTTTTCTTGTTTTTTCTTGTTCTTGACCCGTTCAATCTTAGCAAGAAGCTTTCTCCATTTTATCGGGGAACTACGCCAGAACCGATCGATCGGCAAGATAACTTTTCGACAGGACTCTCGAGTATATTTATTTTTTTCTCCATGCAGGTACCATAAATGTACGTATACAGCTTCTTTGGATGATCGACAAAATACGTACACTTATACTTTTGTACCCCGTGGTGTGAAAATTTATGATAATCGTCACTCACCATTGGACGAAGTGGCGAATTGCATGTGTTGCGAGTACTTTTCTATGAGCCTCTTGATCAGGTCCACTTGTTCGAGGGTCATTTGCACGGCGTTGAGGTGCTGCGACTCGCACGGCACGTACGCCGCCCAAAACTGCAATAAAACCCACATAAAAACTTGTGTTTTATTTTTATTTTTCCTTTGTTTCTTTCAGCAGTTATGATTCGGCAAAGCTTGCCGGGGCGCGCGGAGGATCGTAACTGTATTGTCTCTGGGCGCGAGGGCAGGTGGAAAATCGAAATTTTACGACTCTTATCTTTGTTTTATTTTTTTTTCGTTCGACATCCCACTCCGTGTACGCGTACGATCGATGAGCGCGAACGCCGTAACTTTTAATGCGCTTTATGGGGGGACGGCGCGGAGAGAATTTACGGGAGCCCGACAAATTTTAGCGCTCGCGGGAGATATAAGCGCGTAAATCTTGTCAGGACGAGCGGGCGAGCCGAAGAGAGAGATATGATAAAAGTCCGTCCGATACTTTGACTGTTTGTCTTTGGACTCTTGATTTCCGGATGGATATTTATCGTTGCAAAGAAGGAGGTTTGGGGAGGGGCTCGTGGCTAAGGATAATTAATTTTCGGAGACAAGTTTGCGACCCGTGTGCCATTTAGCCATTTACCAACTACGATTTTTACTGTTACTTGCAGTTCCCTGTGGTTATACTTGATGGTACTTATATTGCTCAAGAAAATTTTCGGGACCAAAAAATACAACCGACCGATAAATCGGTGGAAATATTTACTGCTCATTTTTTGCAACTTCCAATTGTCACTTGGTGTCACCGCTAGTCAACGATCTCATTCGCGAAACCATTTGGCTTCGCGGAGCCAAAGACATTGTGAATACATGTGCCGGAAGAGCTAGTGTACAAGCAAAGAAAAAGAAAGAAAAAAAAGAAAGAAAAAAAAAAGAGAGATGCAAGAGAAATAGAGCGAATTCAATCTCCAGAGGAAATCATCCCGCGGATTTATTAATGTTTTACCGACAGAAAGAAAAATCTCGACCGCACGCGAGAGTAGGGTTTTTGCCAAAGGGCCGCGGAACCTGCAAAGGAGGAGGGGGACGAACAAATTACAATCCGGCCGCCAGTTGGCACAAAGACAAGAAAACATATAAATATATGTATATGTAACACCGAGGCTCTTCGTGTATACGTACAATGGCGCGTGCAAGGACGGAATGGCAAGATGGACAGATAGAGGAGTAGCGGTATAAGGTATTGGGGGGGGGGGTGAGGAGAGAAACTATTCAAACAGCAATAAACCCCCTCTCCCTCGTTCTCTTCATCCATTGCCTTTATCTCGATCTTTTTCCCTTCATTTTGCGATAAATTGCTCGGGTTATTTCCTCCGCTCGTACAGTTGTCAACTTATTTGTCCTCTACGTCCTGTGGTACACATAGATGCACAGAGAGCTGGATACATAACTACAAAAGCAGAGTCATAATATATAGGACGTGGGAAGAGGAAACAAAAGAAATGGAGTTAATTCGGGTGAATCGGCGGCAACCCGAGTGTTGATAATTTACGTCGTTAGGACCACGTACCGATTTACGACGACGATCGGTACTATATTATTTTGAAATATGTGGGTGCGCGTGTACGTGTCATTGAAGTGACGTGTCGGAGGAAAGAAAAAATGAAACTCACCTGTCCGCCCACCATGCCCTGCCTGAGCCTCGGCAGATCCGTCTGACTCCAGGCGCTCTTGCTCCAGGGCACGACCTGCCTGAGATCGGTATCGAACTCGAACTCGGCCAGCTGGTTGTGGACAAAGTTCCGTATGTTCCAGGGCAGATCGTTGTGCCCGTCGATGAGGGGGACCTCGCTGAGCACTTGGCGCACCTTTTCCATGCGCTCCCGGGGGTTGGCCAGGGGCCCGATGCTCCCTGATAATTCACCGCTCACCGCCCTGGGACCCACTCGGCCGACCCACACGCTCAGCCGCAGCACCAGCAGGAGGGCGAGACGCGCGTCCCGCAGCGCCGAGCCCTGGAATATTTAAATATCAATGCAATCAAATTTAATTGCATAATTGCAGCTCGTATCGATATACCGATTCTATAAACAAACACTTTCACATAATAATTGTTTTTTATTTTTTTGTTTTCAGGACTTGTGAACAATGATGGTTTGTTTGTTTTTCGCTTTCAACGGGTGTTGTGTGAAAGCCAGTTTGTGCAAAACACCATTGGGCTCCGAAATACATGGTTGTCAGGAAGATGCGTAATCAAACGATGGATAGGCACGACCCGTGCATAGGTATTGACTGCAGCTCGAATTCATAAATAATGCATGTGTGTACCGTGGGGTGCGAGCCCTCGGTGTTCGTTAGCGTGATTTTCTGCCGCCTCGAAATTAAAATTGTCCAGCCCGCGCGCGCGGGGACACGGAAAACATCGATAAAAATGGAAAAATCGGGCAAGCGGCGTCGCTCGGGAAGCAGCGAAAATCGGGGAGGCTTTTTCCGGGAACGGACATCGCTGTCCTAATGGGCGCGCGGGAAAAATGGCCCCCGCAGGAAACAAAGAAAGTTGACGCTCGTATGACTCCTAGCTCCGGAGAACGGAGGTAAAGAAAAAGAAATAAAGTCCCCCTGGGGGTTTTATTGCTTCCGATTTGTTAAACAAAAAAACGCCCTATGGATTGAATTGGATTCCGGAAACTCGTTTTTTTTTTTTTTTTTTTTTGGACCTAGAAAAAACAGGGGTGAGCCGACTTTCACGTTGCTATACAAATGAAAACACGTTTTGCGATTCAATTTTCATGGGGGGTCCAGGGGTCGAGGGAGCACGGATTAATCCAGACGTATGGAGGACATGAGTTGCTTATTTTCCGGAGCAACCCATCAAAATTCCATTAAAAAGAGGGACTGGCTTAAAATATTACAGCTCCACGCGTACAACCTACTTTGCGTATAAGCTTCCCAGGAGGGAAAGGGGGAAAAAAAATATTACTCAAACATTAATCTCGGTAAGCTGCTTTCGATTGGACGCGTGTCCGCATCTGCATAAGAGCATATCCCATTTCATTAATCTCCCATTTCGATATCATTACCCGAGGCGCTTTTTTCTCTCCTATCCTCTCTCGTGGAAAATGATCGAGTTTTTATAATCCGTAATGGGTAGGGTTGAAACTTGGCTTGGGACGCACCTACCCTTCGAATGACGTATGGGCGGCTTTTGGCAGATCAACCTGATGGAAGACGGCGTTCCAGTTTTCATGCATCCCGGGGCGAGTTGCTCGTTGCACCAACGCTCATTGTGATGTGTATAATGTCGGGTCGTAAAAGTCTTTGGTTATTGCTTTCGAGCGTCACGCCGAGCTGACGTTATTACGGGCAATTAAAACGAATTCATTGGATTTTTTTTTTTTTTTCTTTTTATGTACATTTAAAGGAAGAGAGATAAAAATCTTGTATTTAGGCCAAAAGTGAAATATCTTTTACAAAGGACTCGCACGTTAAAACGAAAGTTGGCTCGTTTGAAGCTTTTCCAACTCTCTCGTCAAAGTTCGCAGTTGAAAAAAAAAAAAAAAAAAAAAAAAAAGAAAAGCAAGTCAAAGTAACAGCCACACACACGTAACGACGTGACAAACGCGTCATCCGCAAATTTCGCTTTAATTTGTCCGAATAACCCGTGGCCATTAAATCTCAAAGCGCACCTCCCTTCGTTTCCTATACACATGTATATATATATACGCGTACGCGCAAGCGATGTAATTTAATTAAAAACCGGGCGCGCATAACTGCTATACCCTCGCGCTAAAACGCGAGAACGCATTAACGCGCCCGGCGCTATACACCGAACATCAGACGGCACTTTCAGCATCACGCGTTACGTATGTATATAATATATTGTACACCCTCCTATATGCACGGGTATACACGCGCATTGAAAAATATGTAACCCTATAAACAAAAAATGGATAAAGGTTTAGGAAAAAAAAAAAAAAAAAA